ATTAATGTACTGGGTTGGGACTCAGGAGATCAGGGTTCAATTTCTGCCTATATCATATTACAAAACAAAACTATCCCCATAACCAACAAATAGCATAAATGTTGCAAAGCCAGACACCAAAGTAAAGTAAAGGTTACCTGTTACCAGAATTAGGGTTACCAGTTGCAAGCTTAATTTGGCCCCCGTGTGGATATGATCATCACACACTCTTTCTATAGGATCCTTGCCTCATTCAGTGTATACGATGGATGAAACTCAATTAATGAGCACATTTTCAATATTTTGTGTCACCCTCATTGTTCAGTATGTGGCCCTCAGCTTTAATTATGGTAGAATATCCAGCTCCAGCTCTGAATACAGCTTATTACGTTTTCATATGGGATTTTCTGCGGTACTCAGGGGAGAGCTCATAACAATCATTTCATCTTCACAACAACTTTGTGAAGTAAGTTCACTGTTATCACCTTGATACTGAAGAGAGAAGCTGCAGCACAGGGAGATTAAGGTAAAAAAAAGGCTCTAATTCTGGGTGCTTGATTTGAGATACCCGAGTCTGATTTTTCAGAGTAGTATTGCACATATTCCAGCATCCCAGTGATTTCAGTTGCAGACATGAGCAAAGATCCCAGATCTGCTAGCAGAGGACTGTGGAAGCCCAGGGTTCTTGGGCTCCTCTCCTAATTTTGCAGAAACATGTTCTCTAACACTCAAGGACCTTTTTAGCTGGTCTCCCAGGCTGAATAACTTTTGACCCTATCCTGTGCAACCAGTTGATATTCTGTTTCTCTCCCACTCTTTGCTCCTCATCCCAGTTTGTTTCCTTGCCTATCCACTCCAGTCCCAGTTTCTACTCCTCAGACCCCTCATCCTAATCCTAGATTCCTTACTTAGCCAGCCCCACTCTCCTCTTTTAGTTTCTCATCTCTCTCCCATTTCCTACAGTTACTAGCTCCAGTCTGTTATTTTTCCCAAGCTCCTCATCCACCTCAGTCTGTTACCCATCCCCCAGCTCCTTCCCATATCTCCACCCACCTCTTGTTTTCCGTTATCTTCCAGCTCCTCTGATCTTTGTGTTTCCCCTCCCATATGTCCCCCATTCCCTTACTAGCTCTCAGCCCTCTCAACCCCCCATTCTCAGTCCCTGTTGACTCTGTGCATCTATGAATGTCAGTGGGTTACTATCAAATGTACCATAGCATGATGTTCTGGGGGGTTTTTGTTTGTTTTTTGTCCAACCTATTTACTATTAAACGTAGCATATTAATCCAGCCTTGGCTACACCCTGGCAGTCTCTGTCACTCCTATCCTGCTTCACTGGATTACACAACAGGAAAGATCAAACATGGTAAGTACCTGTTTCCTTCCCCATCATACACCCAGTGTGTAGAACCCAGCCCTTCAAATGCCGATGCCCAATAGTATAGACAAGAGTTCACATGTAAGCAGTAGAGTAAATAGGCTGTGGTCCTTATCACTCTGTAAACCAAAGGAAGGGGAAAAGGGAAAATTGTAAGGTAGCTGATAATGAGAAACACTTTAAATTCCCCCTCAAAATATTACCATTAAAAGTGAAAGACAATTAATAGAAAGACAGGGTGGATGCTGATATTTCTAGTAATATTAAAAAAAAAGTGAATCCCTGTGAAGCCCCAGAGATGAAAGAGCCAACACTCTGCACAATTCATAGAAAATGACGCTACCAGCATATTTCTTATCTATGGCTTTCCTGTAGTAACCCTTCTCCCATCCCCACCCCACCCCCGTGCTGTTCCGTTTGCTTTGAGATCAAAAATATCATTTCTAATAACACTGATAGTACTTACCACATGCAGCCAGCACTTTAAAAGCTTTAATAGAAACTACTGTTAATAAAGACACCTTTTCTGTGGTTATCTTTCATGCTGTCATTCTGGGTCGTGTCCTGCTAGCAGTGGCACACACTATGAGTCAAAATCAGCTGAAGAATGACTGAAAAATTAATCTTTTGTTTGGCTGCAGAGAGAACCAAGCGTTAAGCGCTTGGGCCATGAGGCTCTGTAGTATTTGATCCCAATGCTTCTCTGCCAATCATCTTATAATGTATTAGTGTTCATCTCATTTCCCACCACAAAGCAATTGACTTTTGTGATCAATATGAGGAGGAACTTTCTCTATCTAGACTTATTTAGTTGGAAATGGGGGACAATAAGGAATTGTTTGGATGAAGACTTCTGTATCTCCGTAGAATTACATCTCCCTCCACTCCAATAAAGAGGAATCCTAAAAATAATGTCCTACAAAAATAAACAAGCATCAATGGTTTATCTTACCTGTAAATATATGCCTTGCTCAGAATAGCTTCAAGTCGATTGTTAAACTCGAAGAAAGCCATGTACTGTTAAAAAAAATAAATGCAATGGGTGTCAGAATAATAGAAAATTAGAGTTAGACGGGACCTCAGGAGGTCACCTAGTCCAACCCCCTACTCAAAGCAGGACCATCCCCAACTAAATGATCCCAGCCAAAGCTTTGTCTAGGCAAGGATTAAAAACCTCCAAGGATACAGAGTCCACAACCTCTCTGGCTGTGTCAGCTCCCTGTCTTCTGTAACTGATAACTACTTTGGACTAAAGCTTAAATGAGAAATTATGAACTACTGGAACCATGTTTCACACTTGTATCCCTTCTAAAATAGTCCCATTCTCCTTTGCTTTTACTCCTCCAATAGTTAAATGGTATGGTCTATAAAAGGAGTGATTTGGGAAAGACATAGGCACCACTGTTTTTTTAAACCTATGACTGTTTTTTCTACTGTATATTGCATTCTAAAATGCTAAGTGCACTTTAGAGTTGAAGTCAAGTGCTAGTTTGATGACCTGGAGGCTCAAGTCTTCCATATAACTTCCAAGTCTTGGACTTTTTCCTACATTGCAGATTACTGCTGGCCCATTGCTATTCAGGACTATCTATTCATTTCCCATATACAAGATAATAGGTGAAAAGCAGGACTGTGTTTGATAATATCTTTTCTTGCACCAACTATATGGTTGGGAGAAATGTTAGATAGCTTTCGAGCACAAAATGCATATCATAATTACTTTCACTTCCTGCTAATCTGATGTAAAATTGGACTATTGCCTCCATAGCCAATGTAGTATCCCTTCAACCATCTAATCTTCTGAGACTAGTCTCATGTTTATGTACACTTTTTCATTGTTCTCATATTTTTAAAGCAATAGTGGCTTTCTTTGAAAAACCTCTAATTGTTTTGAAACAATCTATCACAGAGGAGCTGTTTCTCTGCTTACATCAGGTGTAATAATTGCAATATGGACATACACATTCCTACTTCAGTAGGAGCTGGATCAGCCTCTCAGTATGTGTTTTCACAATCCACCTTAAAAATAAATTAAGGATATCCAAATTACAGCTGAAGCATGTGACAGCTTCAGCAGAACGAACTTTTTCACCACTCTTCCCTCATACAATTTTCTTGACATCTGCACTTAACCTATTTCTACAGCAAGCAACAACTCATCAACAATAGCCCAGTATTCAGTTACAGTTAATGGCAATGCATATTCTCCCTTGTTTTGGTAAGTTTCTGGCTTACCTTTAAACAGCGAGGCAAACGTAAGAGGGAATTTACGCCAACTTTGAAGTAAAATATATCCAGAGGAATGAGGGAGATCAAGTCCATCTAAAAGCCATTCAGACCAAAGAAGAAAACATGGTGGTGAACTAAAAACATCATAGGACTCATTTGCTTCAACCAGCCCTCAAGCAAATATTTATGAAACCCACTTCTGCCTTTATTCCCTGGGAAGCAACTTCTAGTGAAATCAACAGTGATGATCCATGGATAGAGTAATGCAAGTCAGTGAACAACACAATCATATTCCACAGGCACAGGTAAACTCAACACCCTTTAACTTGTCTAGATAATAACTGGGGCTTCAGGGAGGCTCACATTACAATGGAAACTCCATTTCTTGAATCCTATGTGCTCTCTTGCCCATATCCAAATCACGATACTCCTAGCTCCCTCTGAGGGTGCTAGTGCTTCTTTCAGGACTTACCTACCATAGTGTCTGTGATCCCTCGTTATTCATGGTTAGTCCCTGTCCAGAGACAGCCATAGAGTGTGAGGAAAAGCACTAGCATTCCTTCTATTCCTTTCATACCCAAGACAGGGATATCCTAAGTCTGGTCTTCACTATATTTAAAGGCCATTAGCAAGATAAAAATCATATATATTAAATTATTGCAGTTTTTTCTTCAGAAACATGACCAATAACAGGAGTGAGTATATCATTATTAATCTATACTCTGACAAATACTAACATACATAAACAAAAGTCATATAAAATGCATCTCACCTTGAAGCGTTCAGTTTTCATGTAGTTTTCTCTCATTTCCTTTTTATCACACTAGGTGAAAACAAGAGACAGAAACAGGCATCATCACTCTACTATGAGTTTTACTTAACTGAAAAGGCAATAGAGATACATCCACAGACCTGGCCATATGCTTCCTTACAAATATGTACCACAAAGAGGATCAGAAAAGTCCTAATGACAAGAGGAATGGATGGAGGTAAGAGAGATGGAAGGGAATGTGACCACATAACCTTTTTGCCCAACTGACCTCTGCCCAGTTAACATATTGGAAGATCTTTTGTACTGTGGAAGAAATCAAACTTTGCGTTGTGGTTGAATCAGAACTGACAGAGCCAGCTTTTCTTTATTTAAGGCTATACTGTGATCACAGGGAGAATTCCATACAGCAAGGGGAATCACCCACTTATCTGTTTCAAAGGATTTCTCAGACTCTCTAAGGTTACAAGTGTATTCATACTTAAGACAGAGAAAGACATAAAAAATACACCTTGGAGAAACAAAACAATAGTACTTTACACAGAAACTTAGAAAGTTTTACTTAAATAAACTATCTATGCATAGGGCAAGATATCAAGATAACCCAAGGCATGCAGGAATGCACAGGGCAAGATATCGAGATAACCCAAGGAATGTAGGAATACGGATTCCTTATCTCAGAACATTTGAATTAAGCAGTATCAGCACATCTGGTCTTTGTCTGTTTTTCTAGTCAAGTAAGCTAATTACTTCTACAGTACTGAGAGAAGGGATATGGCTTGATGATGGGTTAATGGGTAAGGGGGGTCCTTAAGTTGCCATTTCAGTTCCCTGAACATTTTTCTTAGGATAACATAGACATGTAGGTCTCCTACATTATCTCTGTTCTAAACAGGCATAACTTCCACAAGCTGCCCCATGTTCCCAGCTGGTGGAGGCAGTATACTGGTTAGATGAAAGGAGCCAATAGCAGCAGAGCAGTGTAAAAGGCACTTCCTATCCTAACAAAGAAGGAGCAATATGCAGGGAAACAGAGATCCACATGTTTCATTCCATCCGTTCCCATGGA